ATCCCTAAATCCCAATTCCCTGTGCAAACCCAGCCTTTTTTGGGAACAAATCCTGTTTTCCTGGGAATTCCCATCCCGTTTCTCCCAGGAATTCTCATCCTTTTTTCCGAGAATTCCCACCCCATTTCCTCAGGAATTCCCACCCCATTTCCCCAGGAATTTCCCCAGGAATTCCCATCCTGTTTCAGGGGCTCGTTAGGGATCCGGGCACTGCCAGTCCCCATTCCCAGTTCCCCATTCCCAATCCATTTTCCACCTCCATTCCCAGTTTTCCATTCCCAGTCCTCACTCCCAGTTCCCATTCCCAATCTGGTTTCCATCCCCATCTCCATTACCCAGTCCCCATTCCCAGTCCCCATTCCCAGTCCCCATTCCCCATTCCCAATCCCCATCGCCATTCCCACATTTCCATCCCCAGTTCCCATCCCCATCCCCAGTTCCCATCCCCATCCCCATTCCCATCCCCATTCCCAGTTCCCATTCCCATTCCCCACTCCCACTCCCCATTCCCCATCCCCATTCCCAGTTTCCATCCCCATTCCCATTCCCATCCCCATTATTCCCCAGGAATTCCCCCCCCATTTCCCCTGGAATTCCCCCGGAATCCCCCCCATCCCAGAATCCCCCCCGGTGTCTGCAGGCCGAGGAGGTGCTGTCCGTGGTGGATTCCGAGCTGGGTTTCCCGCAGCATTCCCGGCTGTTCCCGGAGCATTCCCGGGTGTTCCTGTTCGTCAGCCCCGGCAAGTGCGTGCTGGGCTGCCTGGTGGCCCAGCCCATCACGCAGGTGCGCGCCGCGCTCGTTAGCGGGGCTAATTAGGGAGGGGCTCGTTAGGGATCCGGGCACTGCCAGTCCCCATTCCCCATTCCCCAATCCCCATTACCCAGTCCCCATTCCCAGTTCCCATTCCCAGTTCCCATTCCCAGTCCCCACTCCCATTCCCCATTCCCAATCCCCATCCCCATTCCCACATTTCCATCCCCAGTCCCCACTCCCATTCCCCATTCCCAATCCGTTTTCCATTCCCATCCCCATTCCCAGTTTCCCATGTCCATTCCCATTCCCAGTTTCCATTCCCATTCCCCATCCCCATCCCCATTCCCAGTTCCCCATTCCCATCCCCACTCCCACTCCCCATTCCCATCCCCAATCCCCATCCCCATTCCGATTCCCCATTCCCCATTCCCCATTCCCCAACCGGGATCAACACCGGGATCTGCTACACCAGGATCGGCACCGGGATCTGCACTGGGATCAACACCGGGATCGCCGGGATCCGCTACACCGGGATCTGCACTGGGATCTGCACCGGGATCAGCACCGGGATCAACACCGGGATCAGCACTGGGATCACCAGGATCCGCTACACCGGGATCCACGGCACTGGGATCGGCACCGGGATCTGCACCAGGAGCTACAGGACTGGGATCAACATCGGGATCAGCACCAGGATTGGCATCTGGATCCACAGCACTGGGAGCCGCGGCACCGGGATCAGCACCGGGATCCACAGCACCGAGATCGGCACCGGGATCGGCACAGGGATCAACACTGGGATCAACACCGGGATCACTGGGATTGGCATCAAGATCCACGGCACCGGGATCAACATCAGGAGCCACACCGGGATCCACAGCACCAGGATCAGCACCGGGATCCACGGCACCGGGGTCCGCAGGATCGCCGGGATCAGCACCAGGATCAGCACCGGGATCAGCAGCGGGATCCACACTGGAATCTGCACCGGGCCCAGCGTGATCAGCACCGGGACCGGCGGGATTGGGATCAGCAGGATTGGGATCAGCAGGATTGGAATCATTGGACTTGAAATCGGGATCATCGGGATCGGGATCACCGGGATCATCGGGATCATTGGGGTCCTTGAGCCCAGCCTGAGTTCCCGAGGGGCTGGAAAAGCCGGGATTGATCCCAATCCAGGATGAGATCCCAAGGGAATTGGGAGCTCCCACAGGAACCCTTCCCTTCCCTTTGGGATCCCTCCCTTTCCTTGGGAATCTTTCCCTTCCCATCCTTGGGAATCCCTCCCTGAATCCCTCCCGAATCCTTCATTCCCTCGGGAATCCTTCCCTTGGGAATCCTTCATCCCTTCCCTTCTCTCTGGAATCCCTCATTCCCTCGGGAATCCATCCCTAAATCCCTTCCCTTCCGAACCCCTCATTCCCTTGGGATCCCCCATTCCCTTCCTTTCTTTGGGAATCTTTCCCTTCCCTCCCTTGGGAATCCTTCCTTAAATCCCTTCCAAATCCCTCATTCCCTTGGCAATCCTTCCCTTGGGAATCTTTCCCTAAATCCCTTTCAGATCTTTCCAAAATCCTTCACTCCCTTTGGAATCCTTCCCTCGGGAATTGCTTTCCCTTCCTTTCCTGGAATCCTTCCCTTCCCTTCCCTAAATCCCTTCCCTTCCTTTCCTGGAATCCTTCCCTAAATCCCTTCCCTCCCAATCCCCTCCTTCTCTTGGGATCCCCCGTTCCCTTCCTTTCTTTGGGAATCTCTCATTTCCTTGGGAATCCTTCCTTTCCTGGAATCTTTCCCTTCCCCTCCTCGGGAATCTTTCCCAAAATCCCTTCCAAATCCTTCATTCCCTTGGGAATTCCTCCCTTTAGGATTCTTCCTTCACTTCCGTGGGAATGCTGAGCTCCCTTGGGAATTCTTCCTTTCCTGGAATCCTTCCCTTCCCTCCCTTGGGAATCCTTCTCTAAATCCCTTCCTTCTCAAACCCCTCATTCCCTTGGGAATCCCTCATTCCCTTCCTTTCTTTGGGAATTTTTTTCTTCCCTCCCTTTGGGATCCCCCATTCCCTTGGGAATTCTCCTTCCCTCTGGAATCCCTCATTCCCTCTGGAATCCCTGATTCCCTTGGGAATTCTCCTTCCCTTGGAATCCCCCATTCCCTTTGGGATCCCCCATTCCCTTGGGAATTCTCCTTCCCTTGGGATCCCCCATTCCCTTGGAATCCCTCATTCCCTTGGGAATCCCCCATTCCCTCTGGAATCCCTCATTCCCTTTGGGATCCCCCATTCCCTTGGGAATTCTCCTTCCCTTGGGAATCCCCCATTCCCTTTGGGATCCCCCATTCCCTTTGGGATCCCCCATTCCCTTGGGAATTCTCCTTCCCTTGGGAATCTCCGTGGGATCCCCCCCTCCTCCCTGCCCAGCTGCTGAGTTCCCCAGGAAATCCTGGAATTCCCCAGGATCCCCCCCAATTCCCGCCTTTTCCCGGCTGGTTTTTGGGGTTTCACTTCATGGGGCTCGGGCCTTCGTTAGCGGGAATCGGCTTTTCCCAAAAGTTCCCTTGGAATTGCGCCGGGAATTCTGCCCCAGGCTTTTCCCCCCTGGAGCCTCCCGGGCGGGGAATTCCAGGTTTTTGTGGGAATATCCCAAGGTTTTCTGAAGTTACTCCATACATTTCTGACAATATCCCAACGTTTTCCTGTGATGTTCCATAAATTTCTGACAATATCCCAAGGTTTTGTGAAGTTATTCCATAAATTTCTGATAACATCCCAAGGTTTTCTGAAGATATTCCTTAATTTTCTAACAATATTCCAAGATATTCCATAAATTTCTGACAATATCCCAAAATTTTATGATGATCCAAGTTTTTCTGGAAATATCCCAAAGTTTTCTGAAGTTATTCCGTAAATTTCTGTCAATATCCCAAGGTTTTCCTGTGACATTCCCTAAATTTCTGTCAAGATTCCAGGGTTTTCTGATGCTGTTCCAAGGTTTTCTGGAAATATTCCAAGGTTTTCTGAAGATATTCCATAAATTTCTGAAAACACTCCGAGGTTTTCTGCCATTTCGAGGTTTTATGGAAATATTCCGTGATTTTATGAGGATAGTCCATGTTTTTTTGGGATATTCCAAAGTTTTATGGGAATATTCCAGGTTTTTGGGGGATATTCCAAAGTTTTATGGGAATATTCCAGGGTTTTTTGGGGATATTCCAAAGTTTTATGAGGATATTCCATGTTTTTTTGGGGATATTCCAAGGTTTTATGAGGATATTCCAGGGTTTTTTGGGATATTTTAGGTTTTATGGGAATATTCCAGGGTTTTTTTGGGAATTTTTCCCCCTCAGAGCACCCAAATCCCATCCCAGCTCCCGCCCCTCTGGAAAATCCAAATCCCAAGGGAAAAATCAGCAACCCCAGAGAGAGGAACAGATTTTTATTTATTGGGAACATCCTCGAGAGAAAACTTGGGAAAATCCAATGGGAAAAGTCAGGAAATTGCAGCCCAGAAAAGTGGGAAAATCCAACTCAAAAATGAAGGGAATTCCAACTAAAAAAAGAGGGAAATTCCAACTAAAAAGGAAGAAAAATCTGACCTAAAGGAGGGAAATTCCAACTGAAAATTAAGAAAATTCCAACTAAAAAAGGAGGGAAATTCCAACAAAAAAGGAAGAAAAATCTGACCTAAAGGAGGGAAATTCCAGCCCAAAAAAAGAGGGAAAACGAGGGAAAAAAACAGGGAAAATCCCAAGCTCAGAGGGAAAATCCAACCCTAAAAACTTGGGAAAATCCAACCCCAGACTTGGGAGATTCCAACCTGGAAAAGTGGGAAAACCCAGTTAAAAATGAGGGAAATTCCAACTCCAAAAAGAGGGAAAATCCAAACCCCAAAGAGAGGGAAAATGAGGGAAATCCAAGCCAAAAACTGGGAAATTCCAAGGGGAGAACTCGGGAATTGCAGCCCAAAAAAAGGGGAAATCCGACTGAAAAAAGAGCAGAAGTCTGACCCAAAAAGAGGGGAAATGCAGGGAAAAACCTGGGAGAATCCAAACCCCAGAGAGAGGGAAAACGAGGGAAATCCGGGCTAAAAAGTGGGAAAACCCAACTCAAAAATGAAGGAAATTCCAAATAAAAGAGGAAGGAAAATCCAGCCTAAAAAGAGGGAAATTCCAGCTCTGTTTTCCCGCTGGGTTATCCCAGCATTCCCACTCTGTTATCCCAGACTTCCTGCTCAGTTTTCCTACTCCGTTATCCTGGCATTCCTGCTCCGTTATCCCAGAATTCCCGCTCCGTTATCTCAGCGTTCCAGCTCCATTTTCCCGCTGGTTTATCCCACAATTCCCGCTGGTTTATCCCGGCATTCCCGCTCCGTTTTCCCGCTGGTTCAGCCCAGCATTCCCGCGCCGCCTGGAACGCCGCCTCGTCCAGGGAGTCCTCGGAGCAGCTCGAGTCCTCTGGAACGCCGGGAACGCCCCGTCGGGAGAGGGCTCCGGAATGCCGGCCCGGCCCGGGATCCTCTGGGAATTCCAGCCCAGCCACCTCCCCACCGTCCCAGCCGGGAATTCCTCCCCGAGATCCCAGAATACCAAGATCCCAAAATCCCGACCCTCTGGAATGAGCAGCCTTTGGCACTGGATCCCGGGAATCCCGGCCCCGTCCCAGCCCGGCACTTCCCGATGTTCCCAACACTGCCACTCTGGGAATTCCACCCCAGCCCCTCCCACCCTCCCAGCCAGGAATTGCTTCCCAAGATCCCAAAACCTCGAGATCCCAAAACCACAAGATCCCACAATCCCAAGATCCCAGCCCTCTGGAAAGGAGTGGATCCCGGGAATCCCAGCCCAGCCCAGCGTTCCCTGATCCTCCCAGGGTGATCCCAACCTTTCCTTGGACACTGCCAGGGATCCTCTGGGAATTCCAGCCCCGCCACCTCCCCACCGTCCCAGCCGGGAATTCCTTCCCGAGATCCCAAAACCTCAAGATCCCAAAATCCCAAGATCCCGACCCTCTCCAACACCGGGGACATCCTGTTGGGAGCGGATCTCAGGAATTCCGGCCCCAATCCCAGCCCAGTGCTCCCTGATCCTCCCAGGGATCCTCTGGAATTCCAGCCCAGCCACTTCCCCACCCTCCCAGCCAGGAGTTCCTTCCCAAGGTATCGACATCCCAAGGTCTCAAAACCCCAAGATCCCAACCCTCTGGAACGGCGGGGATGTTCCGTCGGGAGAGGGTTCGGGAATACCGGCCCCAATCCCAGCCCGGTGCTCCCTGCGCCACCCAGGGTGATCCCAACCTTTCCTTGGATGCTGCCAGGGATCCTCTGGCAATTCCATCCAGCTCTCCCCATCCTCCCAGCTGGGAATTCCTTCCCAAGATCCCACAATCCCATGATCCCAAAACCCCAAGATCCCAACCCTCTGGAATGCCGGGGATGTTCCGTCGGGAGAGGGTTCGGGAATACCGGCCCCAATCCCAGCCCGGTGCTCCCTGCGCCACCCAGGGTGATCCCAACCTTTCCTTGGATGCTGCCAGGGATCCTCTGGCAATTCCATCCAGCACAGCCCCTCTGCACCCTCCCAGCCAGGAATTCCTTCCTGAGATCCCAGAATCCCATGATCCCAAAACCCCAAGATCCCGACCCTCTGGAATGGTGGGGATATTCCATCAGGAGAGGGTCCCGGGATCCTGGCCCCGTCCCAGCCCGGCGCTCCTCTGGGAATCCTCTGGGAATTCCAGCACAGCCCCTCCCCACCCTCCCAGCCAAGATCCCAAAACTCCAAAATCTCACGATCCCACAATCCCAAGATCCCAACCCTCTGGAATGCCGGGAGAGAGCAGCTGTCAGGAGTGGATCCCGGGAATCCCAGCCCTGTCCCAGCCCAGCGCTCCCTGAACCTCCCAGGGTGATCCAACCTTTCCTGGGACACTGCCAGGGATTCTCTGGGAATTCCAGCCCAGCCGGGAATTCCTTCCCAAGATCCCACCATCCCAAGCTCCCGTTTCCACTGGAAGCCATTCCCTGCCTCCTGGCCCTCCAGCCCTTGCCCAAATCCCAGCTCTCCTGGAGCCTCTGGAAAAGGCTCCAAGGATTCCCTGGCTCCTTCCCTGATCCCAGTGAACATTCCCAGCTCTCCCAGCCTGCCATTGGATCCATCCCCATCCCGATTCCTCCTGGAGAAGGAATTTTGGGATCCAGGGGCTTCCCTGGGAATTGGGGACTCCAGGAAGGGTCTCCCTTCCCTTTTCCATCCCTGAATTCCATAAAAATCCCTGGGGATGGATCCTGAGTGTCCTTGATCCCAGAATCCCAGAATGGTTGGGATGGGATCCATGGACCTTCAATCTCATCCCAGGGACCCTTCCCACGATCCCAGGGTGATCCAAATCCACCCTTGGGCACTCCCAGGGATTCTCAGGGAATCCCAGCCCGGCCGGGAATCCCTTCCCAATCTCCCACAATCCCAATCTCCCCTTTCCCAGCGGGAATCCCATCCCATCCCTTTATCCCATCCCTTTATCCCATCCCATCCCTTTATCCCATCCCATCCCTTTATCCCATCCCATCCCTTTATCCCATCCCATCCCTTTATCCCATCCCATCCCTTTATCCCATCCCATCCCATTCCCCTTTCCCCAAACCCCGGCGCCCCTTTCCCACCCGAGCGCTCCCCGGATCCCTTCCCGGCGCCCGTTCCCCGCCGGGATCTCCCGTCATTCCCGTCATTCCCGGTGTTCCGGACCTTGGGAGTCGCTGTGGGGCGGCGGCAGGTGGGGCACGCTCAGCGCCAGCATCTCCCAGAGCGTGAGGCCGAAGGCGAAGATGTCGGCGCGGTCCGAGATGGGCGCGCCCGGCTCCAGCGCCTCGGGCGGCGTCCAGGGCTCCGTGCCCACGTAGCGCAGGGAGGGGTCGCGCACTGCCGGGACAGCGCCGGGATGTCGGGATCACGGGATGTGGGATCAGGGGGATAGCGGGAATGGGATCACGGGGATAGCGGGAATGGGGTCGCGCACTGCCGGGACAGCGCCGGGATATCGGCACGGGATGTGGGATCAGGGGGACATCACGGGGATAGCGGGATCACAGGGATATCGGGATCAGGGAGACATCATAGGGATATCGAGATCAGAGGGATGCCGGGATATTGGGATCACAGGGATAGAGGGAATGGGATCACAGGGATAGCGCGATCACAGGGACATCACAGGGATAGCGGGATCACGGGGATAGCGGGAATGGGATCACAGGGACATCACGGGGATATCGGGATCACAGGGATATCACAGGGATAGCGGGAATGGGATCACGGGGACATCACGGGGATATCAGGATCACGGGGATATCGGGATCACGGGGACATCACGGGGATATCGGGATCACAGGGATAGTGGGAATGGGGTCGCGCACTGCCGGGACAGCGCCGGGATGTCGGCACGGGATGTGGGATCACAGGGATATCACGGGGATAGCGGGATCACAGGGATAGCGGGAATGGGATCACAGGGACATCACGGGGATATTGGGATCACGGGGATATCAGGATCACAGGGATATCACAGGGATATTGGGATCACGGGGACATCACGGGGATATCGGGATCACAGGGATAGCAGGAATAGGGTCACGCACTGCTGGGACTGGAGCGCACGGATATCGGCCGCGGGATATGGGATCAGGGGGATATCACAGGGATATTGGGATCACAGGGATATCACAGGGGTATCGGGATCACAGGGATAGCGGGAATGGGATCACAGGAATAGCGGGATATTGGGATCAGAGGGATAGCGGGAATGGGATTGGGATATTGGGAATGGGATCAGAGCGATATCGCAGGGATATTGCAGGGACATTCCCAGGGATCCCACACTCCCAGGAACGCCCCCATCCCCAGGAATCCCACCACAATGGGAATGGAGATGGGATCCATTGGCATGGGACATGGGATCCGTGGGAATGGGATCCATGGGAATGGGAATGGGATCCATGGGAATGGGAATGGGATCCATGGGAATGGGAGTCCCACATTCCCAGACACCCCCCATTCCTGGGATCCCCCCTGTTCCTGGGCATTCCCGGGGTGCCTCATTCCCAGGGATCCCCGTTCCAGGGATCCCTGTTCCCAGCATTCCTGGGATGCCCCATTCCCAGGATTCCCCCATTCCTGGGATCCCCCGTTCCCGGCATTCCCGGGATCCCCCATTCCCAGGATCCCCGTTCCCGGCATTCCCGGGATCCCCCATTCCCAGGATCCCCGTTCCCGGCATTCCCGGGATCCCCCATTCCCAGGATCCCCGTTCCCGGCATTCCCGGGATCCCCCATTCCCAGGATCCCCGTTCCCGGCATTCCCGGGATCCCCGTTCCCGGCATTCCCAGCGTTCCCGTTCCCGGCATTCCCGGGATCCCCCATTCCCAGGATCCCCGTTCCCGGCATTCCCGGGATCCCCCATTCCCGGGATCCCCGTTCCCAGCATTCCCAGGATTCCCCCATTCCCGGGGTGCCCCATTCCCAGTATGCCCCATTCCTGGGATGCCCCATTCCCGGGATCCCCGTTCCCAGCATTCCCGGAATCCCCCATTCCCAGGGATCCCCGTTCCCGGCATTCCCAGGGATCCCCCGTTCCTGGGATCCCTGTTCCCGGCATTCCCAGGATGCCCCATTCCCGGGATCCCCCGTTCCCGGGATCCCCGTTCCCGGCATTCCCAGCGTTCCCGTTCCCGGCATTCCCAGGCGCCCACCGGTGAGGTTCTCGTCCAGCGGCAGCGAGACGCCGACGTCGCAGATCTTGACGGCCTCGAAGTCGCCGCGCACGACCACGTTGGGGGACTTGATGTCGCCGTGCAGCAGCCGCTGCTCCGTGTGCAGGTACTGCGGGAATCCCGGAATGCCGGGAACGCCGGGAACGCCGTCGGATCGGGGAGCCCGGGGGAAATCCCGGGCCCAGCCTCGGAACCTCCAGGCGTGGCCTGGAATCCGTGGGTTGGGGGGATCTCATGGATCAGCCCAATCCTGCGACGGCTCCTTGGGATCTCCCAGGGATTCCCTGGGAATTCCAGCCCAGACGGGAATTCCTCCCCAAATCCCACAATCCCAAGGTCCCCTTTCCCGGGGATTCCCTCCATTCCCAGCTCTTCCAGCCTGGGGTTGGAACCAGCCCCATCCTGACTCCTCTCTGAGAAGGAATTTTGGGAATTCCCTGGGAATTGGGGACTCCAGGAAGGGTCTCCCTTCCCTTTTCCATCCCAGAATTCCATAAAAATCCTTCAGGATGGATCCTGACCGTCCTGAATCCCAGAATGGTTTGGGATGGGACCTTCAATCCCACTCCATTCCAACCCCGATCCAGAGTGCTCCAACCTTTCCTTGGGCTCTCCCAGGGATTCTCTGGGAATTCCTTCCCGAGATCCCACCCCAAGCTCCCCTTTCCAGGGAATTCCCTCCATTCCCAGCTCTCCCAGCCTGGCACTGGATCCAGCCCCATCCCGACTCCTCCTTGAGAAGGAATTTTGGGATCCAGGGGCTTCCCTGGGAACTGGGGGACTCCAGGAAGGGTCTCCCTTCCCTTTTCCATCTCCAAATTCCATAAAAATCCCTGGGGATGGATCCCGAGCGTCCTTGATCCCAGAATCCCGGAATGGTTTGGGATGGGATCCATGGACCTCCAATCCCACCCCATTCCCACCCCGATCCCAGGCTGCTCCAGCCTTTCCTTGGGCTCTCCCAGGGATTCTCTGGGAATTCCTTCCCAAATCCCACAACCCCAAGCTCCCCTTTCCAGGGAATTCCCTCCGTTCCCAGCTCTCCCAGCCTGGCACTGGATCCAGCCCCATCCCGACTCCTCCTTGAGAAGGAATTTTGGGATCCAGGGGCTTCCCTGGGAACTGGGGACTCCAGGAAGGGTCTCCCTTCCCTTTTCCATCTCCAAATCCCATAAAAATCCCTGGGGATGGATCCTGAGCGCCCTTGATCCCAGAATCCCAGAATGGTTGGGATGGGATCCATGGACCTTCAATCCCATCCCAGGGACCCTTCCCCAAATCCCAGACTGCTCCAACATTTCCCGGGAGACTGCCAGGGATGCAGGAATTCTCCGGGAATTCCAGCCCGGCCGGGAATCCCTTCCCAAGCTCCCAACCCCCCCAGAGCAGCTGGAGAGCCGCCCTGGCTCCCCTTTATCCCAGAATTTTGGGGTCTCCCCGGGGTCCCGCGGCTTTCCCGGGGTTTTTCCCGGAATTCCCGGTACCTGGAGGCCGCGGGCCACGCAGAGGGCCACGCGCAGGATGGTGCCGGGCGGGAAGGCGCCCAGGCCCCGCCCGCGGCGCTCCTCGATGCGCTCGTGCAGCGACTGCTCCCCCCCGAACTCCATGGCCAGGCACAGGCTCCCGTCCGCCGCCGCGCCCAGCGCGCGGTACCCTGCACCGCCCCGCGACGGAGCACGGGAATGGGATCACGGGAACGCGGGCATGGGAACGGGGTCACGGGGATGGGGTCATGGGAATGGGAATGGGATCACGGGAACGCGGGCATGGGAACGGGGTCATGGGAACGGGGTCATGGGAATGGGAACGGGGTCATGGGGATGGGAACGGGGTCATGGGGATGGGAATGGGATCGCCGGAGCACCGGGATCACCGGGGAACGGGAGCATGGGAACGGGGTCATGGGAATGGGAACGGGGTCATGGGAATGGGAACGGGGTCATGGGAATGGGAACGGGGTCACGGGGATGGGAACGGGGTCACGGGGATGGGAACGGGGTCGTGGGAATGGGAGCCAGGGAATGGGAACGGGAGCACGGGAGCACAGGGATGGGAGCATGGGAACGCGGGAATGGGAGCACGGAGATGGGAATGGGATCACAGGAATGGGATCCAGGGAAAGGGAGCAGGATCACGGGAATGGGAACGGGGTCACGGGGATGTTAATGGGATCACCGGAGCACGGGAACGGGAACACGGGAATGGGAATGGGAGCACGGGAGCACCGGGATGGGAGCACGGGAATGGGAACACGGGAACACGGGAATGGGAACACGGGAATGGGAATGGGATCATGGGAGCACGGGGATGGGAGCGGGATCATGGGGATGGGAGCACGGGAATGGGATCATGGGAACGGGAGCGGGAGCACAGGAATGGGAATGGGGTCACAGGAATGGGAATGGGAGCCAGGGAATGGGAGCACGGGAGCACGGGAGCGGGATCATGGGAATGGGATCACGGGAATGGGAACGGGACCCAGGGGATGGGAATGGGAGCCAGGGAATGGGAACGGGAGCAGGGGAGCATGGGAATGGGATCATGGGAATGGGATCACGGAAATGGGAATCGGAGCATGGGAATGGGAACGGGATCAAGGGGATGGGATCCAGGGATGGGAACAGGATCCACGGAATGGGAACAGGATCCAGGGAATGGGATCCAGGGGAATGGGAATGGGATCCAGGGAATGGGAATGGCTGGGGATGGATCCCGAGCGTCCTTGATCCCAGAATCCCGGAATGGTTTGGGATGGGATCCATGGACCTCCAATCCCACCCCATTCCCACCCCGATCCCAGGCTGCTCCAGCCTTTCCTTGGGCTCTCCCAGGGATTCTCTGGGAATTCCTTCCCAAATCCCACAACCCCAAGCTCCCCTTTCCAGGGAATTCCCTCCGTTCCCAGCTCTCCCAGCCTGGCACTGGATCCAGCCCCATCCCGACTCCTCCTTGAGAAGGAATTTTGGGATCCAGGGGCTTCCCTGGGAACTGGGGACTCCAGGAAGGGTCTCCCTTCCCTTTTCCATCTCCAAATCCCATAAAAATCCCTGGGGATGGATCCTGAGCGCCCTTGATCCCAGAATCCCAGAATGGTTGGGATGGGATCCATGGACCTTCAATCCCATCCCAGGGACCCTTCCCCAAATCCCAGACTGCTCCAACATTTCCCGGGAGACTGCCAGGGATGCAGGAATTCTCCGGGAATTCCAGCCCGGCCGGGAATCCCTTCCCAAGCTCCCAACCCCCCCAGAGCAGCTGGAGAGCCGCCCTGGCTCCCCTTTATCCCAGAATTTTGGGGTCTCCCCGGGGTCCCGCGGCTTTCCCGGGGTTTTTCCCGGAATTCCCGGTACCTGGAGGCCGCGGGCCACGCAGAGGGCCACGCGCAGGATGGTGCCGGGCGGGAAGGCGCCCAGGCCCCGCCCGCGGCGCTCCTCGATGCGCTCGTGCAGCGACTGCTCCCCCCCGAACTCCATGGCCAGGCACAGGCTCCCGTCCGCCGCCGCGCCCAGCGCGCGGTACCCTGCACCGCCCCGCGACGGAGCACGGGAATGGGATCACGGGAACGCGGGCATGGGAACGGGGTCACGGGGATGGGGTCATGGGAATGGGAATGGGATCACGGGAACGCGGGCATGGGAACGGGGTCATGGGAACGGGGTCATGGGAATGGGAACGGGGTCATGGGGATGGGAACGGGGTCATGGGGATGGGAATGGGATCGCCGGAGCACCGGGATCACCGGGGAACGGGAGCATGGGAACGGGGTCATGGGAATGGGAACGGGGTCATGGGAATGGGAACGGGGTCATGGGAATGGGAACGGGGTCACGGGGATGGGAACGGGGTCACGGGGATGGGAACGGGGTCGTGGGAATGGGAGCCAGGGAATGGGAACGGGAGCACGGGAGCACAGGGATGGGAGCATGGGAACGCGGGAATGGGAGCACGGAGATGGGAATGGGATCACAGGAATGGGATCCAGGGAAAGGGAGCAGGATCACGGGAATGGGAACGGGGTCACGGGGATGTTAATGGGATCACCGGAGCACGGGAACGGGAACACGGGAATGGGAATGGGAGCACGGGAGCACCGGGATGGGAGCACGGGAATGGGAACACGGGAACACGGGAATGGGAACACGGGAATGGGAATGGGATCATGGGAGCACGGGGATGGGAGCGGGATCATGGGGATGGGAGCACGGGAATGGGATCATGGGAACGGGAGCGGGAGCACAGGAATGGGAATGGGGTCACAGGAATGGGAATGGGAGCCAGGGAATGGGAGCACGGGAGCACGGGAGCGGGATCATGGGAATGGGATCACGGGAATGGGAACGGGACCCAGGGGATGGGAATGGGAGCCAGGGAATGGGAACGGGAGCAGGGGAGCATGGGAATGGGATCATGGGAATGGGATCACGGAAATGGGAATCGGAGCATGGGAATGGGAACGGGATCAAGGGGATGGGATCCAGGGATGGGAACAGGATCCACGGAATGGGAACAGGATCCAGGGAATGGGATCCAGGGGAATGGGAATGGGATCCAGGGAATGGGAACAGGATCACGGGGATGGGATCCAGGGATGGGAACAGGATCATGGAATGGGATCCAGGGAATGGGAACAGGATCCACGGAATGGGAACGGGATCCAGGGAATGGGAATGGGATCACAGGAATGGGAACGGGAGCATGGGAATGGGATCACAGGAATGGGAATGGGATCATGGGAATGGGAACAGGAGCACGGGAATGGAAACGGGGTCATGGGGATGGGATCATGGGAATGGGAACGGGAACACGGGAATGGGAACGGGATCGTGGGGATGGGATCACAGGAGCACGGGAATGGGATCCAGGGAATGGGAACGGGATCACGGGGATGGGATCATGGGAACGGGAACGGGAGCCAGGGAATGGGATCATGGGGATGGGAACGGAATCACGGGGATGGGAGCACGGGAATGGGAGCATGGGAATGGGAATGGGATCATGGGAACGGGATCCACAGAATGGGAATGGGATCCATGGAATGGGATCCAGGGATGGGAACGGGGTCACAGGAATGGGATCCAGGGAATGGGAACAGGATCACGGGAATGGGAATGGGATCACAGGAACAGGAGCACAGGAGTGGGAATGGGATCACGGGAATGGGAACGGGAGCCAGGGAATGGGGATGGCAGCGGTGGGAATGGGAGTGGGATCTGTGGGATCCATGGGACCCTTGGGATCCATGGGAATGGCATGGAATTTGTGGGAAGGGGAACAGTGGGAATGGGATCCATGGGAATGGGAGCTGTGGGAATGGGGATGGGACAGGAATGGGGATGGCAATGGGATCCATGGGAATGGGGATGGGAATGGGATGGGATCCATGGGAATGGGTCCACGGTAATGGGATCCGTGGGATGGGAATGGGGCAGCAGCCACAATCATGGAATGCTCCGGGTGGGATTCGTGGATTTCAGTCCCATCCCAATCCAACCCCGACCCCTCCCACCATCCCGGGGGCTTCCCTGAGAATTCCAGAGGCACCGGGAGGTCTGGAATTCCCCGATCCCAAATCCCCCTCATCTCCCGCTGGAATTGGCTCCACCCCTTCCATTCCCATGGATCCAATCCCTCCATTCCCATCAAATCCACCCCTTCCATTCCCATGGATCCAAC